GCTGAAGGGTTCAGTAAAGCAGTTGCCAGCCGGGAGTTGTGCCTAGCTCACGAGCCAGGTGAGTGCAGAGCGGGGCACCCGCAGCGTACCACGCTTGGAGCTGGGGGAGCGGCGTGGCTGGGAGGCTTTGCGCATGGCCGGGGTTTCTCTGGAAGGCTGCGGCACGAGGAGGATGCAGGCGGCTGCAGCCAGCGGTATCGGTCCTGCTCCTGCAGCAGAGACACTTGCTGCTTGTTCAGCACCAACACCAGAGCCGCTGCCCTTTGCTGTCTGGAAGCTGAGGCCAAGAAAGAGGCTTAAAGAGGGAAAATTGCAAACATCTTAAGCGTTTCATATTGGTGTTTTAAATTGTTGCAATTAACAGCTAACTTATTCAGAGCATCAATTGATGATGCGTCGAGAGCTCCCCTAAGAATACTTACTGCACTGGTGCTCGTTAGGAGCCATGTAATTCCAATAAAACCCACGGAGTTGCTCTGGATTTATACCAGTGCAACGACTAACAGGTTTGATCTGCCGTATATAACAGTTTAGCTTGGTTCAATGAGTTGATTTTAACTCACTTTTCTATGCAAGCCACTTGAAAAATGGGTTCTTATCTATCCAGAAATACAATGAAAAATTGGAGAGCTTATTGAGAATGTGAATTTGTTATTTTTCCCTAGAAAAGTTTAAACAAACACGAGCTCAATGATGTTTGCAAAGTTCTCTGAAGTCCTAAATTCCTATACTGCCGTGTGGCTTCAGGGACGCTGAAGCACGAGGGTAGCTGAGCGCTCTCCTGAGCAGGCAGAGCTTATCTCTGCGATCAGAGGAGCCAGTGGCCTGAGGTTGTTTCTTCCCCTGCTGTGCACGTCTACTTTCCTCTGGCTGCTGTCTATGAGTGAAAGAGAAGAGTCCAAAGGCCTTCTCAGTCACTTAAAACAGAACCAGAGCTTTGTAAATGACTTCAGCTACTGCTGTAAGAACGGGTTCCTCTCCGACAAGCAACACACACTTGCAGAGCTGACCACATTTAAATTACCGTGTTGTAAAACTGGCTCAACGATAAGAGAATAGAAAGCTGTTTTATCTCTAAAAACCAATAGCAGCTGATTTTAAACAAAGGCTTTGCAGAAGTGTGGAGCAACACCAGAGGGAAAAAGAACAATTGAAAACCCAGAACGAACAGACCACACTTTGAGCATGTTCCCTAGAAAAGGCCGGGGCAAAGGTCATTTGCAGACATAGCTGAAGCAGGTAAGGGTAGCAATGCATTGCTTTGGGAAGTCACACTTGGTGACAGCTTCAGAGAGTAGTTTCACTGATGCTAATTTTAAATGCAAGCTTATGTTACAGTGAAACAAGTTATCATATACTTTTCTAACCAGGAATCCCATTTACAGGCACTTTTGGGAGCATGAAGGGTATTGGACTGAAAATTTCAAGGGCTTGTAATCCCTGGGCCTAATGTAAAGTCCTTTTAATACAACAAAAATGCTATAGACCTTGGTCAGTGCATCTCTCAGTCCCCCTGTAGACAGAAATATAGAAACATTTGCTCACATTAAAGTTCAGAGAAGTCCACTACACTTTATCTGACCTTTAAAGGGCTGCCACTTGTGAGGATGCAGTGGATCGCAGCTGCTGCCCAGGTAGGAGATCCCTGCAGCACGCTGCAGCCTGACTCTCAAGACTTCTCCCCAAGGAGAAGCAAAAACCTCATGGTGTCTAATTAAAAAAGATAAAAAAAAACCACTACTGTTCACCTTTAATGTAGTTTAAATGAGTTATTCAAGATTGAGGGCTAGTCAGTCAGATACAGGCCTCTAGAGCTTGTATTTCAGGTTTTTATTACCATGTTTTTATGCGAGGCTTTGTTGATATGCACCTTGACTTCACAATCTGAGCTGTTCCCAAAGAAAGCCAAAGCCAGATTTGCAGCTGTTGCCTTCAAGAGAACAGAAAAGTGGATTCCAGGCACCAAGTGGTTAATAGCTGGAAGCTGTGCATTAGGCATTTATGGCACTGAAGCCCGTTGCAACTTGCCTGATAAAAGGCATTTCAAATAAGCCAGGATTGCATAGAGGAATTTCAGTTGATGAGTTCCTGCCTAGGCCACTCTTTCTCAGGACTTATCCAAAAGCTTTTAACATGTCTTGACAAAGCAAAGGGAGAGGCTTCAATGCAGCAGCAGACAGCAGGTTTATGTTTAAAAGGAAAAGAAAAAGTGAGAGAAACACCCTAAGCTATTTGTTCTGTTAAATCCTCTATCAGCACCTCCATAGCGGGTTTCTTTTTTTTTTTTTTAAGTGCAGCCAAGCATTGCAGTTTATCTTCAATTCAAGTTTTTGCATCCCAACCAATCTTTTCCTAAGCTGCAAAGTTCAAGCAAATTAAATTTGAAATTTTCCTAAGTTATTCAAGTGCTTGGGAGTACCAAAGCCTGCTGCTAGTCAGAACTGGACCCTGCATTTCACTAGGCATTTGGGGTACACTTCTTATATTAGAGGCACTAGGTATATTTTAACATTTTTTTTTCTTTGTTTCACAGATAGGAAGTTCTTTGGAAGAAGATACCCGTCTTCTGGAGGGTTTGGACAGCACTTAGCTTAGGGCTTCAAATCTCCATAGTGCTTCTGGCACTCCCATAGCATAAATTCGCAGATGCACTAAGGTGTGTGCAAGAGCAGCGGTAGGTTGGCACCACCATGTCGGGACAGGCAGAGTTCTCCCTGTTCTGTCTGCCCACGCATCACAAGAAGCCTCCAGCATCCATCTCCAATTACCATACCACGTGAGGCCGTTCATAAGAAAGATTATTTCTCCCCTACCTAGGCTAAAGGAAAGCAGTAGCTTAACACAGGCTCAGCATTGCAGATACAACCAGGCATGTAGAAGAAAACGTCTATCTGTATTCTTTGGGTTTTGTAGATTCGGAGGTTTAAGGCAAGAAGGGACTATGAACATTATCTTATTGAACCTCCCTCTTAAAAAAAAATGTAAATTCTCCATTAGTAGAGCTACAGAATCTCATTTGGAGAAGCTTTCAGTAGTTTAAGACCTTCAAGAGATAGAGAACTGCCATATCCATTGGTAAGTTTTTCCCACGGTTAACATTACAAATCATACCTGGCAACTTGTTACGGGATAAAGGTAAAAATTGAAAAGAGGGAAAGAGGAAACAAATTAATCAGTGAGCAAACAAAAGTTTCAGGCTCTTACATTCCCATGAGCATGGATTGTAGACAGTTTCACACCTCCTACGTAGAATTTGAACACTGCAGATGCACCAGCTGTACTACCCTAAATGTATATTAACATGCGATGAGCTTGCCTGCATTTTCCAAGTGAAATAAGGACAATCCATGGGTTCTGTTGTCCTTCATTCCACCGGAGTCTGTCTCATACCTAACCAGATTTCAGTGGAGTGAAGCACAAGAGACATGGAGATGAATCAGCAACAAGAGGAACTGCTTCCCACTGCCAAAGAAAGGAAACTACATGGAAATTTGGATACACCAAGCATCCAGAGATCAAGCATGCTGGGAAATGGAGAGGAGCAGTACACTGAGCACTTTAATAACCTGAGTATTTCTTGAAAATCTCCAGTAAGAGCCTGTTTTGAAAATGTACTTTTTACATAGTACACAAAAATTAAAATATCTACAAAGACTGCAAGCTGCTTTCTTGAAGGCTTAAATACCCTATTAGCAGGAAATTAAACTCTAATGTGGATAAATTAGATGTGTAACCATTGCTTTCAGTCATCTTCTCTCTAGGATAGTACAGCCAAGTAAAGAAACCAGAATATAACTTTGTTTTAGGGCATATGTACCACAGTGCATTTCCATAAGGAACTCTAAGCATCCATGGGCAATGCCTGCCTCCCTCCAACACCCTCTGCCCCAGTACCTTCACAACGTGGCAAAACACCATTAAAAGTTTTGGTCCATTTATTTCGTAATAAAAGGAATGTAAATAAAATTCAAGTTGATGGAGAATTTAGATTTTTTCAGGCTGAACACAAGATGGTTCTTTTAAGGTATCCGTGTAAATTCCCCACAGGTTAATGCAGTTAAACATTTTGATGCGTAAGAGCATTGCATTCAACACACATCATTCACCAATTGTAATTGCCTTTTTGAAGTCCTCACCTCCCTGAGATGAATGCCCAAAAATATTAGGTCTGGCAGCTTTAAAACAAAACCAAAACGTCCTTCTACCACCAGAAGGAATTACTTGCTTTGATAGACTTAGTGCTGGATTTCAACAATCTATTATTCTATATTACTTCTCAGCTGCTTGCCTAATCAGTGCCCTTCCTTCCTCCCTCTCTCACCCCCCACGTTTTATTTGACTGACTTTAAAAGCACTCAAAAAATCTATTTGCTGACACTGTTTTCTTTCAAATGCAGACACCACAGGGTATGTATGCTCCTTGGAAAGCCAACGGCCAGCTTCCACAAAGTAGCACCGAGCCCTTCCAGTCAGCAGTGAAAGTTCCCAAAGCTTCTGACATTTATTGCCAGGCTCATTCTTAAGCATAACACGCAGCCTGTCTTGGACATCTTACAAAAACGAATCTTCCTGTTTAATACTAATAATTAAAGTTACAGTCTTGATTCCAAACCAAATCATTACAATACCAGGAGCACAGCATATATTCAAACCAGGATCCTGCCAATCCTTTTTTTTTTTTTAATACACTTATCCATCAAGCATTCCATCTCTGTAGGTATCTTGAAATACATAACCAAAAAGATTTTTTTTTCATTAAATATTTTTCTCAGGGAATCTCAGAACTGAGATTTTTAACCAGCCATTCCTTAGAGTTCTGGTTGTGCTTACTGCGTGGCAGTAACAAGAACACTAGCAACAAATTGATCCCCTTCCTTCTCTTTTTAAGTAGACAGAGTAAAAGTGCAAAAGTTTAAGTACAATGTGCCAAACATAAGCAGATGAAAGATTTGGTAAACAAGAAAACTTGTGTGTAAAGGTAATAAAATAAGCGTACCTACCTTCCTACTGCCCGGGCAGAAGCTGGTCCAAGGAGCTGCACCCAGCACGGAGAAATTGCTCGGTTTTTCTCCAAGCCCCCGAAGGTGTGATGCTGCATGGGCTGGTGCTGCTCCCTTCTGATTCCTTCCTTCTGAAGGCAGCTGATGCTTCCTTCCCTGGCTGGCTTCAGCTTCCTGGGCTTGAGAGGCCTTCTTTATGGGGCACTGTGAGCTCTCTGAAGACAGAAATACAGTTGGGTATTAATGATATGCTAGGGAATGTTTACAGCACTCACAGTAATGTATTACCTAGCCATTTGTTCCCCCCCCTCCCCATACGAAGGACACTTTGGCTAACAGCTTTCCATACATTAAAGCAATGAACGTCCATACATTAACGCGATGAACATAACGAGACAGCAGACAACCTGCCAGAGAGGCACAGTGCTATGGCCAAGGCTTTGTCAATACACGCAGTTAGCACAACTCCTCGGCGATGACAGGCACTATGTAAATGCAAGCTCGTTATCAAAGAACCCACGGCTCATTGCTCACATTGATGCAGCACCACAGACAAGAAAAAACCCTCAAGTTACTCTTCTGAGCAATATGTGCAGTCTGAAGACTGAGTATTTCCAAATCTTAGCACCTAAGATGTAAATTTGGCTAATTAGACAAGAACTTACTTTAAGGTGAAAGGAATGAGATCAAAAAGAAAACCAGGCCAAGTATCACCAACACTCGGCTGGGCTCATGTGTTTGGCAGCCTCTTCTTGAGGTTGCCACTGCTGGTACTTGGAGCCTTCTTAGCTCCAGGTGCATCCATCCCCAAGACACAGCCCTTTCCCAGCCCCGACAAGCCTGCACTTGCAGGCTGCCTGGTGCTGACAGTGCCAGGTTCAGCTCCGCACCGAGAACCTGGGACTTGGGGCCCTTCCCTGGGGATCCCACATCCTGAGCAGTGCCTGGCACTGAACCCCTGCTCCCAGGGGGCTTCGGCACCTCTCCAGCCATGGCCCAACCCTCTGCTGTCCCAAGGAGCTGAAAGATGCTTGGAAGGCCATGAAGCACAGCTCACGCCAGCAGCCTACCTGCCCCCTGTCATTCTCCCCCACAGGGAGAAAGATCAGCAGGAACCCCAGGTGCCTGAGCTGAGGTGAACAGCCAGGGAGACAGCTGGAGAAAGCAAAGTTTTTGACTCAGCTGTCTTTTAGTGATGAAGCGAAATTCCTTACCTAAAAGTAGTTTTATTATTTTACTCGAATACCCTCTGCTGTCTGCACTACAAACCCCACAGCCCTTTCTTTGAGCCCTCGTCCCACAAGCACTGCCTTGTGGCCGGTCGTAACTCCACCGAGCTCTGAAGCAGAGGGGAGGCTTGGATAAGAGGCCCTTTAGAAACCCTTTACAAATGTAGATTTGATTGACTGACTGATTGAACTTAATTGCAGACATTCTCTTAATTGTACACTTAATTACTGACACTGTGTCAAAAGATTTCTGATGCAGCACCTGGAGGACAACCTTGCAAGTGCCAGTCAAAGCCAGCTGCACGAGACATCGGGGAGGTGCTGCATATTGCCTACAGCTTGGAAGGGGAAAAATCATAATATTTTAATAATATACAATTAGGTTTCACCCACCCTCAAGCGCGCGCGTGCACGTACACACAATCACAAATCTTTTTGCAGGGAGGGCATCTAATGCATCGGGAAGAGAGAAGAGACAAAGAGTGCTAATTATGGGACCACGTGGCGGTTCCACCCTTTTGTGGTCTCTCCTAACACCCACAGTGCTGCGAGCGGCAGGGGAGGGCGTTATGCCATGGGTTTTGGCAGCAGCCACACAGCTGCTGGCCACCCAATCTAGGAACTCCAGATTTTGTGCTCAAATTGTAATTACCAATAAAAGCCGTGATATTTACTCAAAGGTTAAAACTACATATTCTCAGCAATTCTTTTGGGTCACTGCAGGCCTTCCTGAAAACAGCCGTGTAGGAACACCACAAATCACAGCGTTGGTGCTGGTTGTCATGAGAAATGTCTGCAGGAGCTTTGTGGCTACGACTCCTGTATTTCTCAGACAAATTAGCATTTTACTGAACACAAACCTTAAACCCCTGCTGGAACAGCTTGCATGTACAGAGCATGCAATGCACAAACAAAACAGAACTGATCTGTTTTTACACATCATTTCTGAGTATTTTTATCACTAAAAGACCCTAAATTGTTAGGATTTCTCAGTAAAATAACAGAGTAAAGTCATATTTAGAAAATCTCCTCATTAACTAGGTGTGGCAGTTAATAAAAGGAACAGCTGCAGGGTGTTGGATACTTCCACTGCTGCAGCACAGTGAATCGTTGCGGGAACCCCCCCCATCAGCACACTCACCCGCACCACAATGCCAAGCACCATTACCACCGCGAGGGATCTGAGCACAGACTGACCTGTGACTCCTAACTGCATCTCTGAAAACTTCCCAGGGCAGCAGCAAGCTCAGGCCACCCAGGAGCTCGGTGGCAGAGCTGGAGCGACGTAGCAGAGGAGGGTGAACCGAGAACGTTGTGATCCCTCCAGCACTGCTCCCCAGGAAGCATTTTAGGATCGTCCCACAGGTATTGAAAGATGTGGATCAAAGGGGAGCTGAAGGACTGCAGAAGGGATGAGGGGAGGGGAGGATGTCACCTGTAAAGCACAGCACAGGTGCTGCAGTAGGAAATAAGATCTGGGCTCCTGCCTCTGAATCCACCCTTCACACCGAGGCGCTTCTTGCAGCAGCTGCTGAGGCATCTCCTTAAAGGCCATGGGAGAGGCACCAAAATTCTCTGAATTAATGAGTGCTGACCTCAAAAGCAAGAGCGGACAGGGCACACAATTGCACTCGCTGGGCTGCTGGTTCCCAGTCACAGCCCCCGTCACTGGCATCTCCCTCCAGAGGGCCCCAAGTGTGGAGCCATCAAACTGCCACCGGCTGTGAGACTGACAACAGTCTGGATGTACAGGCTGGGTTAGAAAAGGGAACCTTTTCCAGAAAATAGCAGTACGGATTTTAACAACTAGAATTGAGGTTGTGCAATACACAGCACATCACAGACGCCAGTGCAAAACTGAAAAAATCCAAAAAGCGGCACACCAGAACTGTACAGACAGCTAGCAGAAAGGAGAGGAACTGTTCTACACCCACAGAAATGCAATTTGCTCAAAACACCTGGAGTCTTGTTAATTTACCTGTGACATGTTGCTACACTTAATTGCCTTTGACAATTAGCAACATTTCAACACCTTCTTTAATGGCCCAATTATGAGAACACTTGTCTTCCGTGCAGCAGATAGAAGAAAATAGATGAGTGAACTTCCAGAGCAAAACTCCTCTCTGCGTATTGTAACAAAGAGCTTAAAAACAACCCCCAAAGAGACAATCCTGTTTTTTTTTTTGGCTCACACTGCAGACACACTTAAAGTGTGTGCATGAAAGGGACGGGCAGGCCCAGCCACACGTGCAGTGCTGCTGCTGGTAAGCGGCACCTCCTCACGGGCTCCACTCTGCTCCAGCAGTGGTGCAAGTGAGCACAGTGTGTGACAGGACCAGGTTCTGCAACCTGCACTAAGATCTTGCTTTCCCTCCTCCTCACTCCTTACGCTTTGTCAGCTTCAGCTCCAGTCCCCTCCTGCAGACTCGCAGCTGAGCAGCACGATTCATCCTCAGACCCCTGTGATGCTGTTGTCAACTCTCCATCTCCTTTCAACTCTCTGCTAAACACCGTTCTTCCTCTCACTTCAGCACCTGTATTCCTCCTCCTAGATTTATTTCATTCTGTGAAGTTCCGTGAGCTTATGAAGTTCAAATTCTCCACCAGCATCAGTCAGTGCAACCCCACTGATAGGGTCAAGGCAGAGCAAGCGGCACGGTGCACACGGGTCACGTACCACGGAGAGTTTCACTGAAACCTTTCCTGCTCTTCCCTGCGGGCTCTCACACCACCTGCAGAACAACTGCTAGAGTCAGGGGTGCAACCACAACAACCCACCTCTGCTGGTGATCTTCTCTGCTGGATAGTTTTTTTTGACAAGTGCACTAATGCCAAGGGGAGCAGCTCATTTCATTCTCACTGCAGGGTGACAGCTCGGTGTCTCAGAGAAGGAAGGAAACCTGCCCTTGCTCACGGTGACCTCCAAGAGGTTTCTTTCAGAGGAGCTGCAGCTGTGTAAATTGCGAGCAGGTTACCAGGAAGCTCACCGACCACAAAGCTCACCAACTGGCTTCTCCGTGTAAGCCAGGGGAGTCCTACTGCTGAATAGAGTTTATGAATAAAACAATGTTTTATTAAATTACTGTTACATTTTGATTGAACAGCATTTGGACTACATAGGAGTCGGCATATTCCTGAAAGTAATTGGTTTTCCACATCTGCTTTCCTTTCTAATTGGACTAATTACTTCAGTGTAGGATCATGTTCACTACTCTCCAGAAAGCAAGAAACCTTGATTTACAGTGAGAAGAGCAGCAATTAGAGAGAATTAATTCATACAGCAACATCTAAATAAATCATATTATGAGAAGACAGCAATGTAATTATTGTGACTGGTGGCTCCCTTGTGGAGAAACATCATCCTTAAGCCTAAATCAAGCAGTTCTGCCCTCCGATTTCTCAGAGCATGTACTACCCATTTTATTTAAGACCTAATTGAGGTGCATTGTCAAAAACAATAGGGTCTAACACTCCTCCGGCAGGTGAAAAAAAATCAAATCCTTGACAACTCTGTGTTTGTCTTCAGAATCAAATGTGTGTTCAACAGCCACGGATAACAAATGCCAGCAGCAGCCTCAAATTAAAGGTGCAACAATTTCAGGGAGGTAATATCCTCCACAATGAGACAGGCTTTTCTTTCTCTCCAAATCCAGCCCAACCCATCCAGATGGCCAATTAAAAGGTTTAGTGAGAAGGAGAACATGCTGAACTACGGGGCTTCAGAAGATGATCCAGCTCCTTATGTTGATAATTTATCTTCCTACTTACACATTAGCAGTCTGGTCCTATCTTGCTGATTGAGATGAGATGTCTCTTTCCTACCTTGGCAAGCTGTGAAAGCCATTTCGTGAGGCTGAGCTCCCTTCATCTGCTTGTTATTAGTCCTGTCCCTAACATCATGCTCACCGAGTTGCTGGGACTCTGCCTCTTCAGAACACACTCAGCTCGGGAGGAATTCATCTCCCCAAGAGTCTTTCATTTGGTTC